AGACGGGAGTTAGGGGAGACAGGGTGAGAGTGCCGCGAGGCCGATCGAGATGCTAGGGTGCTTCGGGGTCCGAGTGGGTGTTGCGCTCGTCGGATCGCTTTGTAGCGCGGGTAGTCTTCTGGGATCGATCGGGGTGTTCGGTTCGGGCACGGTTGCTGCTCACAACGGTAGATGATAGTCTCAGGACCGTCTGGGATGTAGACGTCGATGAGGTCCTGTGAGTCGAATGCGTGGACTTGGCCTTGGCAGGCAGCCACGTTGAATGGGGGGAGGAAGGGGAGGTGCGCGTACTACGAAAGGCCGTGCTATACTAGCTTACACCTACGGCGCCCGAGATGACACTGAGATTCGCAGTTCACGTAGGGCCCAATACTGCTTTTGACTATTATGCAGCAGGAACCAAGGCTACGCGTCCGTGAGGACAAGTACCGCTCACTGAAGCGCAGGTACTGAAGAGTTCGTTTCTCAAATGTTGGCGATGTATTGTATGCTATCTACGTATCGTAGGGTACAGTAGGGGTGCGCACCACCCAACCTATGGGAAAGGAAAAGTGAGTGTGTGGGGTTCCGAGGAACGCCGGCAGCTTTGTGGAGTTTCGACCTAATGTCGCGACTTGAGGTCTAGCGACAGGGGAAAACCTAAAAAGAGCTGGGGGCGTCCGACTGATTCTCACCGAAGCGATGGTGAGCAGTGCTCAAACCTAAGGCTAGGGACAAGATAGTATATTAGTTAAGTAAGCAAAGAGAATACAACTGGGGGCTTACTGACCTAGGGACAAGAGGTCGAAACTGAGGTCCCTAGGGCAGTAGAGGCCGGCTTATATACATGGGGAGATTAGGGCAGGCTGTGCACGTTGGTCCGTGCGCAGCTGGTCCGTGCACAGCATGCCGACGCGGCCCCGGGGGCCGGTGAGTCAGAGCGGCTGTGTCAGCGGGGCCCGAGCTGTGCCGTGCACTGCCGCCCCATCTAATCTAATCGTACAGTAGATAGTGACACGTCCATATCAGGCAGGTAGTACAGAGGTCGCGGGTTCGAGCCCGCGAAAAGGAAAAAATTAAAAAAACGGCTAGGCGCCATACCAACTCGTGACAGATAACACGTCGTGTTCGTTCTTCGTGTTCTGCCTTGTCCTGGGAAAAGATCAGGATGTCGTCCATGTAAATGCAGAGCCAGCCTTCTTGAAGCATGTCTGCGAATATAGTGTTCATCATCCGCTGGAACGTAGCGGGAGAATTACACAGCCCAAAGAACATCACCGTTGGTTCGTATAGCTGCGGCGGTTTGCCGTCAGTTCCAGGTACGATGAACGCTGCCTTCCATTCGTCCCCTTTCTTGATTCGAACATTGTTGTATCCGGCGCAGAGGTCCATCTTCGTGAACATCTTGGCGTGCTTCAACTTGTCCAGGAGGTCGGATATAAGCGGGAGCGGGTATCGATCCTTGACCGTGTTCTCGTTGAGCAGCCGGTAGTCTTGACAGGGACGTAGTGAACCGTCCTTTTTTCCAACAAAGAAGAATGGACTCGCCAACGGGGATTTTGAAGGGCGAATGTACCCTTTACTCAGGTTCTCCTCAAGGAACTTGTCGAGTTCCTTTCATTGCTGCGGGTTGAGCGGATAGACCTGTTGCTTCATGTCCGCGAAGCCCTCCTTGAGGTTGATTTCGTGGTCGTATTCGGTGTGGTCTGGAAGTCGCGCAGCCGTGGCTTTGTCGAAGACGGGGAGGAGATCGTGTAGGTAGGATGGTACCATCTGTGGTAGCGTTCTTTCTGTCTTGCCTTGGGCGTTCGAGGCTGCAAGTTCGGTGGAAGTGGTGACGCGCCTAATGTCGTGGTGGACCTTCCAGATCATGCCGTTGTGAAGTCGTTTGTAGCCAGATGAGGGTTCAGGGAGTCGCTCCTTGAGCGGAACATCCCTCGCTGCCAGGGGTTCCTGTTTCTCGTACTTGGTGATCATCGGTGCTCCAGATAAGTAGGAAATGATGAACTCATCATCGTCGATGTCCTCCGCTTGTTCCTCGATGGACGCAATACCCGTTGACCCAAACCCATCCTGCCCGCGTTCGGTCTCGTCGACGCAGTCGGTTAGCGTTACTGGTGGAGTGCTTA